TGGAGATGGATTGGGCACACACTGAGAAGGCCGACTGAGGACATCACGCGCCAGGCCATTTGCTCGGGTGGAACCCGATGGGAGGCGACTAGCTGGACGTCCGTGGTGAGGATGACATGGAGGAGATCGTGCGAGGAGGAAATGAGAGCTTGTGGGCTGTCGTGGAGCCAGGTTCAAAAGATTTCAGGGAACAGAGTTTGCTGGAGACGTGCTACTGAAGCCCTATGTTCCATTAGGAGCCCAAGGACAAATAATAATAATAACAATCCTACCACTTGTCGAATTTCTTAAAATTGTGTTGGTTACTATGTCTAGAGACGAAAAAGGTCTCAGCTGTTTAATACAAAGATAACTGTAGTCATTCAGTAATCTCAATAAATAATATTTCCAAGACTAATTTATTTCACATTTTAATCTTATTTGTGATTAAGAGCTGTACATCATCATTAATGTAGTTCAAAGGTATTAGGCTCTATGCATTCTACATTTCTACGGCAATTAAAAAGACAGTGACATTAATATTCCTCACATTTCACCTACAAATATTTTGGGCAAAATTTAACCCAACCGTTCACTAAATCTAGACACACTTGACAATGCCAAGTGTTCATATGCGTTTTTGTTACACAAATACGTATCTGACGGTAAACAGTAAAATAGAATTCCTTAGCATATATAGACTGCAAATAATATTCACATTATTATTATATTTCCCTTGGGTTCCCAGTCCAACATTGGGCTTCACCAGCACACCTACATTGCATTCTCTTCTCTGCAGCCTCCTCAACCTGGCGACACAACTACCCACAAGATTTCATTTCTTACTCACACGATCTCCTCCATGTCACACTCACCTCGAACATCCAATTCGTTGCTTCCGCTTTGCACTCCACATGAGCACCTAGCCTGGCGCGTGATGTCCCCAGTCAACCTTCTCAGTGTATGCTAAATCCAATCAATCTCCACTTTCTGCTTCTGCATATTTGTTGGATGAGAGGTTTTTGGCAGGTTTGTTGCCAGCCAGCCAGCCAGCCAGGCTTCCTTGTTGCTTATTCTTTCTGGCTATCTATCTGGTCGGTCTTAGTATCGAGTGAGCATGGACGGGAGCAGTTGATGAATGTCTGTAGTTTGTTGGAAATGCTTTCCGTTATGCACCAAGTTTCTGAACCATAAAGCAGCACTGACTTGACTGACATTGGTGTTGAAGATCCGGCTGTTGTTCAGGCTTTGTGCTGAGTGGAGTTCAGTAGACCTCCACACTGATTTCAGATTAGTGAAAACCTGTCTTGCTGTTTTTCCGATCATGGTTTTGACATCGTCATGTGTGCCTATGCTGCCTGTATTTGAAAGAGACAACTTCTTTCAGGTTTCTCCAGTTCATGTTGATTGGTGCTTGTTGACCATGCTTTTGTTGTTTGAGCATCTTCATCACCTCCGTCTTTTCTGTGTTCACCTGAAGGAAGTCACATCTTCGCTACCTCGTCTCGCTCCTTCGGCCAACCTGTTAGTTTTTACCTGTAGATCTTCCAGTTTGAGCAACATTACACATAAATCATCATCATGGGCGAAATCCAAATCTTCTAGTGTCTATTCACCGGTCAAACAGCGTATGCCCATCTTCTTGCTCCTCATGATTGGCTACATCATCCAGTCTACCACAATCAGAAAGACCATCAGTGATAGTAGGCGACAATCTCCTCTTACTCCTCTCTCCAGTCTTCACTTAAATGTTGTCACTTGGAATGGTAACTTAGTTGCAATTATATAACAAATGAATATTTCCTTTATCAGATAGAAGGCAATATTTTGGAATACTCAAGTCCACTTGAAAATTTTGTCTAGAGGGTTGTTGCAGACAATTGTCAGAATGCTGAAAACTTAATATTTGTGTTTGTTAGCAGCTATCTGGTATGTTTTCTAACAAGTTTTAGGAAACTGATATCACTCAAGAATCCAAACATGCATTATATAATACTGCAATTAGATGCCTTACCGCTGGGTTGTTTGGTTGATGATTGGTCTCTTATATAAGTGAACGATCGTTTGTAATTTGGTCATCATCTCTGTTAAATGATCAATGAAATTTGCTCAGTACTCAAGACTCGATAAAATGAATCCCGTTATTCCTCAGTGGTTTATCAATAAGTTTTCATGCATTTTTCGTGAATGCAGACTAGTTATAGAAATTTATTCTCCACAAAACTTGAATTACCAACTGAATATTTGTGAAACACAATTCAGATGTAAGTAATACAATGACTGACCCTTAAAAGTTAGATCTTCTCAGCACAATCCAGCAGTATATTCACCCCAATATTGACTGATATTTTGGTTGGCATAAATCTTAGATTGAAGATTTCTAGAAGGATAAACTAAGAAACACTAAGATACGTATTTTTAACACTAACCATTAGTTGACAAAATGATTACTGAAAACTCCAAATCAGAAGTATATCAAGTGCTAAACGAACAATAGTCGTTAAATTTGTACTACTAAAAGGTGTCACAGTAAGATCTACTTTGGTATACTTTGACTTTGTATTGCGTTATCTCACTGGCTGTATCTCCATTAATCTGAGAGAAATATAACTTATTTTGAGAGTTGGATATGTTTATCTGAGTGATAAACACTCTATAAGATGAAAAAGAGGTTTTCACTCAGTATTTGTCATGTGGTATTTTTGAATAAAAGCTTTATGTATCAAACTTTATTGGTATTTACTATTCATTTAATTCGCAGATTTGTGCATAGAAAAAGTCGTTTGATTTTAGTAATTTCAGTTCTTTTCTTGTCAGTATCGTCGAATTCATTTGGTGCTTTTTACTAGTTATCTCTTCCTACGGCCTATCTGGCAAGTGGCTTAACTAGTCTGGCATTTTCTAAACTACCAATCATATGCAGTAACTAATTTTGCCAATAAATGCACAAGCCGTTACTCAATAAAGTGAAGAGTACCTTTGGTTGCACTCATAGCTAAACAATAAAAGGTGATTATATGAAACCTGTCTTCCCAACCTGACAAAATTTTAGTTTTTAATTTCCTCTTAGTCTTTCTTCAGGAGAACAAATGATATTTTACAAGACATAGTTTGCTCTGATAAAATATTAGAGAAACAATGAATAAGTAAGCGAAATTACGCTATACTGATGATTAGAAGTTCACTGCTTTTGTACAGCTTCAGTCGCATGTTTTTTATATCTTTACCAATGACTTGATACTGCTTGAATTATGTAAATGTGACACGTGTACAAATATCATCAGATTCCATCTTTACTGACCACTCAGTTTCTCCATAAATAGAAAAAGCGGTAATAGAACAGAAGATGTGTATGTACTACGTCAATGGAAGCGTCACCAATGCATACAAGGTACATGGTTTACACATATAAAATGGCCTAGGCTGTTACCAGGCCTACTAGGTATAAATTCGATCGACTTTTCACCTCTTCAACCAACCTTATACTAACACGTTGGTTCAAGTGTTTTTCCTGGGATTTTGAAGCAAATTGACTGGTTGAAAACAGCTATAGGCATATGTTGCTTCTTATGAACATTTTGTCAATCGTTCTGCACACAATAACAGTTATGAATCTGGCAAGTATACGCGTTCACTTGCTAGATGATCAAAATTTGGAAGTTGCTAATCAGTGAGTTCCACTTCACTCGTCTTACTATAGCGAGCTAATTCTTATCAGGAGTTAGAACTTTCCACTTCTAGTGTGTTACTCTCTGAAATATCAACTGCCTTGAAATTATAAGCAGTTAATCAAGTAATGAAAATTCATTCAAGACTTCTTTAGGAAAACATCATGTTCCCAAGATATATACTAGTAGGTATTGTGTTAATACAAATCTTGGATAAGGCATGATAGAAGCACACACAGAAAGAATATGTTAAAATTCTGTGCAGTATAACGTTATTTCTAGTTAACACACTTTTTTAAGTTGACATGAAACAAAAAATAACTGCTTGAATTAAAACAATAGCTTGGGGTCTATAGTTTATACAAAGAAAGAAAATTTGGTTGGTTTTGGCCTTCTGCTAACTACAGCCAATCAAATTATCATAATTAACATTCAGGCATTATCAAGGCATCCGCATATGCCAATAGAGGTCTAACAATTTGATCCAACAAAACAACTGAGAATAACAAGTATGTCAATAAATAGTGAAGAAAGAAAAGATAAAAACGCTGAAGTGAACTTGAGGAAGAAATCTCATAATCGTAAAGTAAACTGACGGATAAATAGGCAGAAACGTGTGTCTTAGATTCCACTGCTAGCCACTATCTATCATTGTCATTAAAGTGAACCTGGAGGTAATATTGAAGCATCCTGAGAGAAGTCTATATACCAATAGAGAACGATCAAGTTGATCCAACCAACGACACAAAATTACAAGCACTAATATGAAAACTATACCCGTCCAACAAGAAGTGGCTGTCATAACTCAGTGACCTAGTGAATAATTCTCTGTCCTTAAAAATGATTGGCTCTGGGTTCGAACCTAGTGGGAACAACATCACCCACTAAGAGGCAGGTGGACCCAGCTGACAACTCCCAAACAGAGATAAAGGTGCATACTAGATTCCACTAATAGTCGCTATCCATCATCTGTTTTATAAGAGAAATTTTAAAAACCCAAGGAATTGTAAAAATGAAATAGGTCTACCATAAAGTAATCGACTTCAAAGTAATCCTCTTAAAATCCTCAATCGGATCTTTGAAATATGCTGGATATCGTGTCTGAAAGACATGTAATACTGTATGAAAAATCATAAGAATAATCTGTGTGTTTGATTTCGTTAAAAAGGATTTCTTCAGACAGTGAAATGGCTCAATCACTCGTCATTTTTTACTAACTTGTCATAAAAAGAAATAACACCTTGTACTCTAACAAGTCAATATTTTAAATAATAGTGGTTCTATCAATAGCTCACAGTTGAGAATGACACAATTCATTTCAATGCAACACGCATAAAATATGAATAAAAAATTATGCCGAAGTATTGTGTTGAATTTGTAGACGGTGTTTCTATAGTAACATCTCGTAATAATTCTGATTGTTTAGAATCTAAAACTGAAGATAACACCATACAGAATAACTGTACTTTACCGATTAAAACTGATCCCATTTCACCATTTCATGTATTGAATTTAAACTTTATAAAACAAAATCAAACCATTTAAATCTTGAATATTTAACAAAGGATTTAAACAAATCATCCACTTCGTTACACAGTGAAGAAGATAAGCCAATTACAACAACAAAAACAACTACTTGTACTACTACAAGCACAAAAACAAAGATACAAAATATTATTTATCCTAAGAATTCACATGAAATACCAATGGGAAAGACAGCGTGTTATATGCCAGATAGTTTAAAATCAACTTGTGAATATCACTATCAAAAACCTATATTCAATAGACAATTACCAACAGTTGAAAAATACTCTACAAATTGTCGAAAATTTGTTATTTCACGTGCAGTAAAATATGAAGATGAATAACAATTACAACTAATAGAGAGATTAAAATCTCCAGTAATCATAGTTATCAAGACATGTTGCGTAATCAGTACAATCTTAATTGTATTCATGAAAGATGTATTGATAAAGGAGATTGTGATTTGAGTACCTCTTTCAAGTAAATTGACAAATCACAATATTTTGTAATAAAATATATAAAATTTATTTGATAGTTTAGTAAAAAGTGAAATCAGTGATAATTATGGTAGAACACATTTAACTTGTCAAATATTTTGGTACAAAAAAGAATAATGGTCCCGATGATGATAGTGGTATTTCTCAGCTAAGTGTCACCAAGATCTGCAAATACTTATGACAGAGTATATGTGAAAAAAATGAAATGTCAACCAATCGTGTACCACAGTAATGGTTTTTGTAGCTACAGTTCTAATAACTTTGAACAATATGAGTGCAAGTTATACTTGGATGAATACAAATGTACATCTCCTGCCGATTCGTATCGACCAGAAGGTCGACAGGAAGGCGAAAAAAACGGTATATCTTCACAAATACTATCCACTGATAGATATTTCAGCATTCGGTGATAATTTATACGCATTCCCTGTGCCTACAACGGATGATCGTGAAAAATGCTACGTAAACTCGAAACTAAGTAAATCACACTATAACAGTAGCAGTAGTAGTAAAAGACACTGCCATCCTTCAAAATGTTACTTATTATATACCTAAGCCGAAAGTGGAAATTAGTTCGTAGCTTGATTTATCTGGGGGTTGTTTTACAGATACTTCATCAGTTAGCTCATTAGAACAAATAAACTTCATTGATAACCATGAAAATATAAAGTCTACCGCAGTTGATTGTTCAATAACTCCTAGTTATACCCAACAAAGGCTAAAAACTAATGAGGTTAGCATCAGTTCCTTGGATAAGCAGCAGCCAGTATATTGTTTACATCAGAAAGAAGATTAAGTGAGTCCTTCAGCTCAACAGAGGAATGAATTAGAAAAAACCCTGATAACTTCACGAGATTCCCAAGTTACATGTAGTAAAGGTCTGGTCAGTATTCCTACTAAAATTCCTGAAGGACAAACAGATTATAGCGTAACTTCTTCAAAAGTAGTTACATATCAGTACAATGAGAAAGACTGTAACTCACCACACATTTTGCCCACTAGTTCTCAACATGTATTACCGGACTTACCATGGTGTAATACTTCACCCAATGAAGTTATTAATACTTCAAATAACTCAAAGTATTCCACAGCATCACCTGACACCAACAATATACAAGTTATTGTTCCATGTTGTCGTTCATTAAGTGAGTCCAGAATACCAACGCCAAAGACTAGACTGGCATAACCAGCCTACAGGGCCGCCTTCTATAAAGCAATTTAATTTGAATATAAACGTCTACCGAACAAGTCAATCAGTAAAACCTAAGGATTTAAGAGTTGGCACAATTAACCAACTGACAGTACCTCAAGACTGCAGAACCATTGAAATTTTACCCACTGATAATAAAGCTAATCAAAATCTAATAGAAACAGAATTCTTTAATCAGATTAATACTGCATTAGAGGACGTAATGAAAAGAAATATACTAGAAGTTATTCATAATAAAAAGATGGAGGATATCAAAGATAATAATGACATAAGGCAAAGTAGATCACTTGAAAAACAATCCATTTCAAGTAATAAAAAGGATACGAATTCAATAAATTCATGTCATTCTAAAGTTAGACGTAAACGTGAGTCGCAATCACTACAACCAAATTATTTGGATGAAAGTAATCATAAATCAACTAGAAACAGAAGTTAAAAACATAATAAAACCCAAATTAGTCAGATTCGATGTGCTTTAAAAGAACCTTTAACCAAATGTTTAACACCCCTAACCTCCACGACGTGGGATAAAAGCCATGTGGAACACCATTCACATCCAAATCCTTTGCAGATACATTAGAATTTCGACTACAGTAATTTAAAGACATCAAAATTATTGATGTATTACAATTCAGCATCTCCAGTAAACCATTCAGATACACTACACTCTTTGAAAATACTCCTTTTTAATCTCAGTAATTCTTCACTAATGTCTACACCACCAGCTAATCTACTAGTTATGCACAGAAGACAATTCAATGAAAGGATATCTTTTATGCCATTACAGTTATGCCCTCAGGGACTATCAACAAGTTCACTACAACTAACAACGACCTCATCCTTTATATCGACTTATCCAACAGATGCTGTAACACTGTCTAGGCCACAACGTATTAAATCGATACGTCGTAAATTTTTCATCTCTGAAAGTGCTAATATTCAAGAAATTTTAACTGATCCAGATGACCAGCTCATTAAGGCTATCTGTGAACGTTACAAATATGATATAGAAATCTATTCTAGACTTCCATGGTGTGGATTTTTACAATATATTATCATACTATCCGCATGTGATATATGTACACTGAGACGATGTGCACGTACTTTAGATTCCAGACTTAATTGGTGCTTGACAGCACAATTACGATAGAGAATACCACCACTGTATCCTCAACATTTCATGCATAAGTTTAGAAATGAATAACTTGTAAATCATCGAAACACATACACACAAACGCACACACACGAACAAACAACCGTTTACTATAATGATGAAAAATTCAAGCTCAAAGAATCCCTTAAGATGTTCATAATTTTTAGGCAAGCCATGGAATGCGTCCATGCACATATAAAGGTAACTTTTTATCATAAATGCCTGAACAGTTTGTATTAATATTTATGAAAAAGAAAACAAATACAAATTTTTAAAAAGGGACTTGGAACTGATTATTAATATATTGGAGTGACTTTAAAGACCACACTAGGAACTGGCGAAATAACCAATAAGGTTTTTATATTTTGACTAAGGTGTTAGTCTTCCATAAAGTAGAAAACCATAATAGGTTATCTCGAAGCATTTGTTAGGGTGGCAGTTAAAGTCATTCATATATTGTTCAACTTATGTTGTTGGGTGATCCTTTCTACTCGGATATGGTGATGCAATGTACTGCTTATTAACGATTACATTTTATGCTACCAGATCAGAACTGTTTCACAGGTGTCATTTAAGTGGAATCAGATAAACTACTTGACTGTTATTTAGAAGAAGAAAATGTGCTTATAAAACTCATGCAACTACTTGGTATGCTAGAGCACCTTTTGGTTAGATATTGACCGTCAATCAGATACTGGAAAATGCAAATGCTTAAAAGCATACCAGACTATCAGCCAGTACTGTCCATGGTCACATCCAGAAGCTCTTTTTCGCCTATATTCCCCTCAGTTACCTACACCTAATGGAAAATAATTTATTAGAAATGAAGTAAAATATAGCATACCTTAAACTTGAAAAGCTGGTAGCAAGTGTTCTACCAGAAACTCTTTATGATGACGACATTAAAAGTGAATATTGAATAACTAGTCAATAAAGCAGCTCAAGTCTGATGAAGTCTGTGCAGATGTTTGCTACTGGAAGCGTAAAGCTGGACTTTTAAGTTCACTATTAGGTAATGATCAATGATCAACTACCTCGGTAGGAAATTGCCGTAAAAATAATAATGCATCTTCACGTTCACAACCTTTGTATTTTCGTATCACTCTCTTATCTAGAATGAAAATCCAGTAATTTAACTCAGATCCAACTTTGTTCAATTTATTCTTATCAGAATAACTGGTTTTTCATCACCTTACGCAATCAATTTGTTTTAAGTGATTGCACTGTTACTTGGTCTCGATGAAATAGCCGAAACTTTTCATATTATTGTTTCCTTATCTCTGCATCCATCTCTCCACCCAGCTTATGATGATTGACTACCTAATTTTGACTTTACAGTATCTTATCACTTACTCATTTACTTGTAATTTGTTAAGTTTGGCTTATAGGAAGCTGAGAACACGATAATTCAAAGGTATGAAAAGTGATAAAATGTGTGTAACGGAGCTATTCGACGTATTTAGCATGAAAATATGACAAAAACGGCAGTGAAATAAATATGAAAGAGCACAAGCGACGATTATGTGATTGGATTAATCAAGGGATTGAGGAGAAGTGAAGAGATCTACGGTCGCCTCCATCAACAAGTCATGTCTGGTAGATGGGCGGTGACAACTCATGAATAGATTGGTAGAAGGTCAGTGCTCATGATGATGATGACAGTGGTGGTGTTGATGTTGATGATGATGATGAGGAGGAGAAGAATACTGCGGTGTCAGCGGCTGTCGCTCATGTTTGTCAGGCTACGCACCCCGTATATATAGAAGGGCGATATGAAGTACATAGTGTGCAGTACTTGTTGATGACTTGATCAGTGTGGAGTAGTTGGAATCAGCTTCATCTGTCTACTCACTGCGGTTGCAGGTATCTGAGAACTGCCCACTGCTCCATGGATTTTTTTAAAGACTTCCATATCCTCATCTGTATGTGACTTGCGGTTACGAACTTCTTTAGAAGTTTTCTGTGAAAATGAAATGGATGTTGTTGAATGCTTTTGTTTTGCCCACTTGATAGCTTCTATCAACGGAATGTGAATAAAGTGAACTTCGTCTCGACTTCACTTTTCCCTTTCGTAGTCCAGAGGATAGATACTCAGAAACAGCTTTGCTAAGCTGTTAAGTGGTTATTGCAATGTAGTTTACTTTACATGAGCAGGTCTACTTCCGAATGCACATTGAGGTAGCTATTATGGATAGCTTGTTTTTTGTCTCAGTAACAATCATCGGAAAATGTTAGCAGCATTGCAAGTTCTTTTGATCGCTCAATACATTCTTTGTAATAAAACTTCACTAAGTGTGTTCTTATTGAAGTGAAGCTTCATGAAAAGTGATTTCTTTTCAAATCGCTTACTCATTTTGTTCATGAGTCTTTCAGTAAAATGACTCGGATACTATGAATGCACTTCAGCTTTTTTGCTTCAGGCCATCGGAATAGACCCTTATGGCTCCAGTTACCAGACATTTCACTAGGCGTCTTCTATACCGAATAAATACAAAGTTGAAGGAATTTAAATGCTGACCTGTAGATGTGATCTCCATGTAGACCCGTTTACTCAGTGATCAGTCGTCTTTTCTAATCAATAAACCAACTACAAAACGTAACATATTATCATCTTCAAATGCGAAAGTGGCAAAAGAATGTATGCTGGGAGGTTTTCATGACATTCTTTTTAGTTGACATTCTCACTAAGGATATGTAACCCTTTTACATATCCAGCTTATCGATAATATATTTTAGGGATCTATTCTTTAGTTTAGAAAGAAAAAAGCAGTTAATATTAGGCTTTAGGGTTAACCTATGACAATTTAATCAATTTTTCTATGAAGTGTAAGGTTGAAATAAAATGCTGATTCATGGTGAATCGTAGGAGTATTTGTTTAAGATATTGTTTAAGCTATATCCAACATTTGTTAACAAATGAATTTCATCATTTCATTAAGTGTTATAGTGATGAATAAAGATGAAATACTTATAGGTATTATATGTTTCCCGTTCATATTTACTTTTATAACTTGGAAATGAAGTTAAATACAACTGTAATACTAATCGGTAGAACTAAACTTGAGTGACGGCCAATCACGTTGAAGTATGGACTAACGAATCAAAATATAGTACACTAAGTACAACTAATTATCAAGGAAAATGGCACTTTATTTACAATTTAAGAGTCTGTTCCGCATGAGAAGTAAAGATTTCTAGATTTTTAATAGGTTTATCATTTCTGAAAATATACCATAGTCTTTGTTGCCCCTCATCTATATAAGACCATTCGATATCCCCTTATGATCCTGGTAAAGATCTTAGAAAGATGACTACACATATTTTCAACGTTGTTTGAGTGGACTTCAGTAATTGGATCAACGAGGTGTTTTCTATGAACAGTAACCTAGTGGAGGTAACCTATTCCACATAACGGCATGTTCGACTTGTAAGCATCAGTGTGTATTGTAGTATTCAGTTCTACCCATTTCTCTTTAACTGGTAGAATACATTCTTCTGATCTATCCTTTATCCATTGAAAGTGTCTTTTCCTTGTATTTCAGTCATACATACCAAGAATCTATGATTTGTCAAGACATGTATATGTTACTTAATCAGTCCTTGGAACGTTAGTACATTGTGGAATGGATTAATGTAATGTGAGTAAATTTTTAGTGGAAAGTTTCGCGCAAAGTGATAAGTTTTTATTTCGATAATATTTCAAGTACAGTTTGGATTGTTTAGCAATATTTATTTCTAATAAACAATAAATGCCCAGTCGTGTTTAAGTCAACTTTCTCGATTATATTTACCTTTCCAAACAATACATTGGTGTACTTCAGTCACATTACTCTCTCTATCAATCTTCAGATCCAACCTGCATGTTATTTCAGACCAAAGATCTCTGCGATGCTGATACTACAGCATTGAAGAAGGTTGAATAATATTTTTTAGAGCTCCCGCTGATAGTTAAGGTATTCCAAAACCCGTTGTAGTAATAAGATAATTATTCGTTGCATAGTTAAATGACATCCCTTGAAAAAGGATCATGTTCTGAAAGATCTCTTCTTGTAGCAAATGGGGAAAAGAAAAGTGAAACCACCTCTTTCCTCAGTGTTATGTACACAATCCATCACAACATCAGACTCACAGTTTACACCCACAACATAAACTTCATCTTAATTCATTAAAAGTTTATGCAACATCAGCAACATGGTGAATGAACGTAGTGAATGACCTAGAATGCAGCAACCGTAAACTGACTGGTCATCTTAAGGTTTCTCACTACAAAAGTTTAGCTCTGCCCAATATTCTTGACAACTTATTTGTCAAAGGGTTTTAGGACCTAGATTAACCAATTCGCAACATTGTGATATGGAAAATGTGACACCTTTTAAACGGGCCGATGGAGATATTAAGGTTTATGAACATTAGATGGGTCAATATAACAGGTAATTAACTGCCTTGTTTGTAGTCACTGAAATTATTTCGGATCGCTTTAGTTCTTTGAAAATGTTTGTTATTGGTTTCTCAGTCCCCCGGTTGAAGTCTGTAATGTCCTAAATTTTTAATTACTTTGTTTTATCATTCAGCAGAGGGTTCATTATATCAATGTACTCACTGATGTTCATTAGTGCTATATCTCAAAATTACTGAGACCGATTTCCTAGCTGACTACAAGGGATAAGTTAACACCATTTACACGGTTTAGATCAGGCATAACTAGAAATTTCTTCACTCGGTCTGAAATCTTGTGTTAGACGTTGTCATGTAAATCATTCAGTGACTGAAGTTCAGTTTAAAAATCTATTCACTCAGACAAAAGATTTAATCCCATTTTCTAAGTGAGTTAAAGGTGTCTTAAACTGATCTAACTGATTCTTGCGATCAATTCCATAACAATGAACATCCGTTCGACAGCCTACTCAAGGAGGAATACCAAGAAGATATCGAAAAGCTCAAAAGAGGTGGTAGTTTGATAATCAGATCATTTGTCTGGTTTATTAAACGTCAAAATT